TTGGTTTTTGAGGCAATGCTATAGAGATACAGCAGCTCAAAGTTTGGGTCGCAAAGCACACTTCACGGCTATCAGATGAAGTTTTGCTTTTTGTTTAGGCCACATGAAGTGTACTATTGCCATAACTGTGGAGTATGCCATGTAATATGGGTTTCTGAAAGTCACAATAACCAATTAAAATAGAGGTTTTGCTAAAAAAATTTTTTTTTATATTTCAATTTTCTTCTAAAAATTTAAGCATACAAATTTGTATACTAAAATATATGGTTTAAGGGATAATATTTTAAATAAAATAATGTTAGTCTTTAAAGAAGCTATTTGTCGATTAACAACTTCAAAAAAATATACTACCATTGTTATTTTTAAGAACCGGAGCTATAATTATTATCACTATCATTGTCTTCTATGCTGTTATCACTTAAATGGCTTTCAGAGTCAGAGTCAGCAAGTTTTTGTAATAATCGTCAACATCTATCAAATCTAAAGATCCAACTTGTGAGTTTGCAGAAGAGATGCAAGTATCTTTTTTATTCTAAAAAAAATAACATTAAAATAAAATAAACATAAAAAAAAAAAATAATTAAAACAAATATACTATATCATTTGCTTTCTTTAAAAGTTTTTGGTACCACGTATCAACAACGTCAGAGTCAAGTTTCGTCGAAAGATAATTTTCATCAAAAATAAGTTCAAGAATGGCCTGTGTCCAAATAGCATTAGCATGAGTATATTCATCTTTAGATATAAAAGTATATTTGATGATTAAAGCAAGAAAAATATCTGAATTTGGGTCATTTAGATCGCTTGGATTGTATAATTCTTCATAAACTTTCTTGGAGTCCTCTTTTTACCTTTTTATTTGTTCTTTAGTATCATATTTGTTAAACGGTTTTATCTTACTAATGCCAAAGGTACCTCAGAGACCTTCTTTAATTCGATGAATGTAGTACCCTTTCTTAATATGATTTGCTAATAGTATCTATAAACAAAGTTAGTATGCAAATTTAAAGTAGTCTAACAATTATTTCTTTTACCTGATATTACATACATAATACGTAATAAAGGTATGTTTAAGTATATATTAATATAAATTGTCACCTGTTGATATCGAGTAAATTGACTGTAAGAAAAATGACTAGCAGGATAATGAAAGTAAAGAATACCAATACTGACATCTGAATAAAATTTTTCATTCTACAACTTATCAAATGAAAATCTCTTTTCTTTCAAACATTGTAATTGCTTAGCACAATCTTTGTCATTTTTTAACTTATTTTTGAGCTGCTTTTTCATCTCTTTGTCACTTATTTGCTTATACTTATGAAATAATTCAGATGAAAGTTGTCTAATTGCTTCCTAAAGTATATGCAACAAATAAACATAGATATTAATATACAAAAAAGTAAATCTATTTATTAGTTTAATGAGAATCTACTTGAAACAAATAATCTGCTGTTTTCTTTGATGCCTTTTTTTCTTTACTTTTAATCTCAACAGAATTATATATTTCCCCAATGTCATCCAACTTTTTAAGAATATTTTTAAGCTGTAATCGTTGTTTGTTTATAAGATATTCGAGTTTCGCATAGCCTCTAGAAAGATGCTCAAGTTGTGATTTATTACTTTGTCCAATGTGTAAGATTTTTATCAATATGCGTGAATCAGTAATAGGTTGCTCTATTAAATAATATATAATTAACTTATATATTAAAAAAGATAAAATAAAAATGAATAAAATAAATATTAACCTAGACTTTTATCATTTAGAAAAGTTACGGAAGGGATAACAACTTGGAGTTGAAACTAAATTATAATATATATGTTAAAATTTAAAATATACAGTAAAAAAAAAAAAACATACAAAGTCTATTGGTAATCCTTTTCTACTATCTAATAACTTATTATTAGTAGTAGTAGTTGTATTATTAGTAGTAGTTATCTTTCTAGTAGTAGTCGCTGGAGGATCAGAGGTTTCCGTATTAACTACTTGGTTAGCAGCTTTCTTTTTTTAGGTAAAGAGTTTGACTCTAATAAGACGTTTAATTTTGTTGCTTGTGCCGAGGTGGTTGATTGTGATGATGTAGTTAAGATATTTAAAGTTATTAATTTTGGCTGCAATGAAGTTCGAGATGAATTGGTTAATATTTCATTATTGCCTATTGCACATTGTTCGGCCGATGATCATTTGGGTTGGCACAAAGAACTAAGATTAAAGGATGTATATGTATAATTGGTTTTTTTGCCTTTTTCTCTCATAGTGAATTAGTGTTAATTAACAAAAGCAATAAAATGAAATCCTTTCATTTTATATTATTCTAAAATCAATCATTATATATATTGCTTATTATTATTATTTTTTTTTCGGTGTTAAGGTGAGGTTTTGCCTCGTATCTTTTATTAGATATTAAGTTTTTGCCTTATATAGCTACAAATAATCTTAAGAATACTGG